TCTTTCCCTCAGTCTCTTTGTGCGTCTGCACCGCAAGGAGGAAACGAGCGCGAAATTGCGGGGTTTCCATTATTATTATTTATTGTAATTATTACTTAACTCTTCTTCTCTGCTGCTGCGGTGCGCGAAAGCAGAAGGAGCAGTTTCAGGTGGAGGGAAACGCTAACCATACCTTGCGTGGCCTTTCTTTTTTTCCCCCCTCTCCTTTCCTCTGTTCCAGGCTCTGAAATGTCCGTGCAGAAGAAAAGGGGAAAGGGAGGAGATAAAAATAATAAAGGCACTTCCAACAACCTTGGAAGATCAAGTGAAGCCCGCGTTTCTATTGTGTGGCAGCTAAGCAAGCCCCTGTTGTACCTACTGGCTGCAGCAGAAAAAGACATACTGAAGACACGTCCTTTTGTTGTCAGTAAAAAGGAACTTGTTGCAAGAAGCTCTTGATGCTGCACATATGCATGGTCCCCCTGGCCAGCAGGGTCCCCTTAGCCATGGGGGCAGTGCCCAAACTAATGGGAAAAGAGCAGGTGACCCTTCTGGCCAGCAGTGCAGAGTGGGCACCAGCACCTCGTCGTCTCACTGGCCCCAGCGTGGCTGGAACCCCGTCTGTGGGCTGCAGTGAAGAAACAGACCTCAAAACAATGGCTTTCTCTTCCCTTCTCACAGCAACCCCAGAGAGAGACTGACAGCAGGTTCCTTCATCACGGAAGAGGGAGAACAGGATGCTTTGTCTTTTGCCTCCTAAAGACACAGAGAAGTACCCTCAGAGCACATGGGCCAGCCTACCCATGCAGAAAAAACAAGGCAAGAAGTGGCCACTGAGCCAAGGCCCTTCCCTAAATCCTGCCAACCACACTGAACTGGTAGGGTAACAAGTGATTTCAAACAGATGAGGGGTATATCTCCACCTTAAAAGTATCACTTTTGATTTAACCCCATTTCTGTTAGAAAACCCCTCAAAAGATAACAACAGAATTTAAACCAACAGCTGTTAGACATGGTGAAGAAGCTCCCTTTGAGAGACTGAATGTGAAGAAAATTCTTAGCAAAGCACAAAAAGATAAAAATTCATGTTCCTAACATGAAAAAGGAGGTAAAAGAAAAACATTCAAGCTCTTCCAAATACTGTAAAGCAAATGGGGGGAGGGGGAGGAGATGGAAGAGAAGAGTGGCACAAACCACAAACACTTGAAAACATAACAAACATACAAAGTGTCATCAACAAACTATAATAATCAAGGAACAGAGGAGGTGTTGCAAAAACGCAGATGGGTTGTTTGCAACATCTTCATTTCTCATAGCAGAGGAAATCATGTAAAGAAGAAAAATGAGAAAAGGGAAAAAAAGCACCATCAGCCAAAGCAAGTGCTTTACTCTTACTGCTTGCCATTAAGGGAATGTAGTGTGTACACACAACCAGAGGTTCCCAGGGCCCTGGTGTCTCTCCCTGCCGCCGATGTGCTGTAGCTCATGCCAAGGCCATGGTGGTCAAACATCCAAAGTTCTCATCATCCTAAAAGAACACAGAAAACACAAAGCAGCATCTGGAAGAGTTAATTCCGCTGTCGTCATTTACATTTCTAGAAAACAAGGCTATGAAAGACAGCTAGTATAGCTTTGCCACGTTTCTTCAACACCTGTGTGGTCTGACCCACAGCAAAGCACTGCCTGCTGCTTGGGGTATGGAAATACTCCCGCATAGCCCGTGCTCTCTCCAAGGAAATGGTAATGTTTGAGCAAGGACTCTCTGCTTCCATCGCCACCATGCCAGTCCCCATGATTGTCACAGCTCAGAAAACCTCCAGGGAAATTCATCAGTCTGCTACCATCAAGGCAGAGCACTCTGCTCCTTTCCTCAGTCGTACGGTGGAATTGGCATGTTGGGAGAGCTGCCCGCAGAGCTTAGCGCTGTGCAAGAGACAACAGAAATACACAGGACCCTTTCTCCATGGCTCTGAAATTTCACATGGATCCACAGGGGCAATGAGATTATTTTATATTGAACCAATACATCAGAAAGCTTCCTATTTTTAAAATCACTGAGAAATGCACGGGTTGTACATTTGTCGTCCCTGCAGACGTCACTAAGGCATAAACAGAAGAGTGGCCTTCAGGGAGAGATTTAACAGGAAAGGGAAAGGGAGACCGTTCAGCACACTTGAAGATCAATAAAAGACTCAAGAACATTATTTGCACGCTCAGTTTTTTTTCTCTTCCAAACAGTTTTGGCTGAAACCACTCTTACATGCAAAGGGTGGCAGAGCCCCAGGAGTTTTGGAGAGAAAATCCTGCACAGCACAGAGATGGGCTTCATGTTCTGCTGAAGTCAAGACGGCACGAGGAGTCAATGCATTTGGGCATTACTTTTGCCAAGTCATGGGTGATCTCACCCCAGCAAACATCTCCTACATGATCTGCTAACTGCCAGCCACCTCCCCAGCCCCACCCTTCTCCTCAAAAGGCAGCCACACTGACCTTTTCTCTTCCCCCACAGGTCCCACACACGCCAAGACGGCTGAATAAAGCCTGGCACGAGGCTTGACCGAGACAGCCTGTGCTTTCTCCTCTATCAATATTTCAAAACCCTGGTCCCAAGCATTCAATATTTGAACAAAGCACTGTGCAGTTAAGGCAGGAAGAAACAGCTCATTCTTTCACTAATGGGATTCCAGGGCAGTCGCGGTTGAGAATTAGCCCAGACCTGCCGGGCTGGGATGCAGCTTGACATGAGCTATTGCTGGAGATGGTGCAGCTCACCTAAAAAGCACAAGGAGAGGTACTGATGCAGGGGGAGACATGGTCTGAGTTACTCTGACGACCAATTTAACTGCACCAGGCAGTGCCTCTGTGTTGCGATGTGACAGCAGCCATTTGGGGTACAACTATCATTAATGCCAGATCCCAGAGCACAGAAATTTGTGGGCAAGGGGGATGCTCTAGCCAAGAGCACTGCTACTGGTCTTACTTTGGGGGGAAGTTGCCAGATAACCCCATTTTTTGATCCCATGGAAATCCTCGATGTGCAGGCAGCATTTGGCAGGGGAAGATGGAAAGGTCTGCACTTCGAGGGAGGAGTCTGGAGAGAAATTCTCTCCCTCGTTCTGAAGGATGGTTTGTAGATGTGTTACATCTCTGAAGAGACATTGGGGAATTGGAAGTTGCATCTTAAATAAAATCAGCTGGAAAGAAGCATGCATCATTGAAGAACTGCTTGGGGAAACATACTAATGACTGTACTTAATTTGGGGGTGGGGGGGAATCAAAGTGAAGGGATAGTGTAATTTTACATATATTGGATAATGGTAGATTCTGTATGGATTTTAAGGAAGGGCTGTCTTTTTTCCAAATCTCATTGTACTTTCACATTTCTGCTCACACTTGCCCTCAAAGCTTGCTTCTGCCCAAGCACCAGAGGCAAGGACCTAAAACACAAATGAAAGTTGCATTTCCTTCATTGGAAAGAAGCATCTCTACTTTTTGAACACTGATAGCATGTTGAGCAGAGTTCGGGACTAATTAACGCACATTTGATTACTGAAGGCATGTTTGCTGTTCATGGAAGCCTTTGTGGGGAAAACAGCCTGAGAAACAGAGCCTTGCTCACAGAATACTGCTTCTCTCCTCAAGGGGACTGACTGGAGAGAGTTCTGCTCTGAAAAATTTTTCTGCTTTCATTGATTATGGTGCTAGAGGCTAAATTCCACTTGGTCTCAAGTACTGAAGCACTGGTGCAATTAGCTTTTAAATAACTTACCATCAAACAAACACAGAAGAATAAACACTCCAATTCTAAGGAGGAAAATAAGTGTATAAAACATGGTTCCCAAAATGCATTTATGGGCATAAAATCCTCCGTGTAATTTCTTAACTGAAGTAATCTTGAAGACCAGTTTACTATGCTGACTTTTGCAGTCACCTCAGCAATTAGTTTAGCCCAGGGAGTGTCTCATTTAAAAACAAAGCCATAATCTCCCCTTTCCAAACTGCAGCAAAGACTTTGCCCTATCAACATTCCAACTCCATATGCTTTCCTGGTTTTCAGAAGTATATTGCATGTGTTCATAACATCTTCAAACATTAAGTAGGATCTCGCTCACAGTCACAGTACATTTGAAGATCTGGTCCTCCATATCTTAATCTTTGATAAGAGGCTAAGGGCATACGTTTTTTGAAGATATGTGCTGCATTTCTGGAAGATTATAAATTCCCAGGATGCACATGCAGGGTATTAAACACTTAAAAAGTGGTCAGAATCACAGCTGCCTCTGACTTACTTCTCAAGCAAATTTTCACACTTCCATACTCTCAGCAGTTGTGGCATACTTGTGCTCTGCATTTTAGGAACCACTAAAAATCAATTATCTTTTTTTACACCATTTTGTTAGATGATATCACCTTATAAACTTGCACAAAACCCATGCTCATAAAGACACATTAATGGAGCTTGAGCATCTGCAAACAATTGCAGATTTCCCCACTTACAAGGAACATATTTAAAGAAAAGCTACATCCTGAAATACCCTTTGATTTCACTTCTTTTTAACAAGCACTATTTAAAGATGATTACAAATACCCTCTAGGTTTCAGAGGGCTACAGAGAAAGGAGGCTCATTTAAAGAGGTACAATCTATTTTCTAGGCACACTAATCTTAATATCTTTCATGAAAACTAAGTGCAAGGATTATTAGCAAAATTACCTGCTGGGCCAATTTCTGCTGGATATATATTTATATTCCATGAGCTACTTTCCTTATTATTCTGACACCTGATATTGATGATGCTTTATACAGATAGTGTTAGTGCAAGATAGGGTTTTTTTATATGTGTTTGTATATATATACACACATACTCACATATACTATGCTCTGTGTATCTGTATAAAATGCATGACTAACAGCTTGGTGGATTTCCCTGCTTGCTGTTGTTTCAATGGGAATGATCCACCATCATCATAGGATTTATTTTCTCCTCCTCCAAGCTGTCTTTTGGCAAGGTGGGTGGTGGGTGGAATTTCCCACTGGAAACCATTGGTACAACAGCACTACATCTGCAGAGGAGCAGAGCTGTCCCACAGCTCATCTGGCCAAAAGGCAGCCTGTGCTGCTTTTGCAGATTTAGAAAATAACAGAGTAACATGAGACTGTTCCTCAGATCTGCTGCTGAATGATAAGAAAGACCCCTTTTACGGTGCTTGATACTTGAACAGGGAAAAACCATATACTGCACCCTTTTAAGTTGAATATACCCACCCTGGTTCCCAGTCCTGTGGTCTGCTTTCCCTGATAAGTAGTTTCCTGCCAGTTTCAATGGAAGCAAGATCAAACGTGCAGGTGTTAGACTGGACTCAAGGCCTTAGACAAGGGGTGTTGCCCTGTGAGAGCCAAAATGAAATTCAAGTGCCATTCTCTTCTACTCAGCCTGACAATTTGGTAATGTTTCTGCAGTGGTGCAGATACATCATTGCTATTCAGTTTAAAAACACCCACCTTCATCTTTTAGTCTTCATACTTAGACATCTATGCCAACCACATTTAGAACATTTATTTAAAGAACCACCTCTAATTCCCAAATAACATTAACCATGTGCAAGAATCTCATTTTTCCAGTCTTTTTTTTTTTTTTTTTTTTTTGTCTTTTTTTTTTCCTTAATGTTCAGACTGATTCTTTATTTGTGGCTATTTAACTGTATTGGTAGGTTTCTC